AGTTATAGGGCCTATTTTTCTTAAGCCTCATGTGTGACTGCAGTAGACGAATGTTACAAATCGGTTTTATTTGAAATTTGATGTTCTGAAAATACATTTTTCATTGATGATATTCTTCATCGTTTCAGTATTTTAGTGCTTCGAGGACAAACAGAAATGATGATATCTTTCAGAATCAATTGATAGTATATGTTTTCTTGGCTGAAATGAATACATCACTAGGGTTGCTGTCATCAATGAAAAAGGTTCGTGCTCCGAGGAAGCACTCATGTCCAGTAAGTACCCGTGGAGACAATTGATCCCGATGCTTTTTTATATGACCTTTTCTGCTGTCTGAAAGAAAACGTGTTTTGCTTTCAAACTGTTTGGGCTTGTGATACATCATGAAAGCAGGCGATGTATTTGTTGTCGCGGCTGCAATTCCTGTACAAATTGATGTAGTTGCACCAATTATTTTTAAACTAATGATGTCTAGCGTATGTATATTATGCAGCTCAGCAGCTGCTGAAACACCATGCCATTGTGCGATAGCAAGGATATTGTTATTGGGTACTAGACTTTATCCGGTAAACAACTTTGTCCACAGGACTCATTGAACTGGTTCATAATGAATTCAAAATTTATAGTGTTTATCTTCCACGCTTAGCATGGTGGTAACGTATACGCCTAGGCAACGAATAGTCCCAGGTTCGAATCTGAACAGGACCAATTTTTTTTTCAAACGGTAATTGTTCCGGTTCCAAAAAAAATTCGGCCTATCATTTGTCTTATGAACATTGATGTTTTCCCCAAGATCATATCATCTGTCTGCTTATGTTTTATTGGCTTAGTTGCCACATCTAAGAATCGTTTATTTTAGCTGTAAACAATTTTAACTGCAGTTGTTTTTAGCATTTTTTTGTCTTTTTATCGGCTTAATAATTTGCGGCCTAATTAATATCAACTTAGTGGCCTCTTATTGCGTCGTTTTGTCCGAAAAAAGTTTTTGTTCGCGTGTGTGTGCTCTGACGGAAAAAAGGACTTGACATTTATTTATAAGCCAAGAATTTTTCTGAATTTCTTTTCGGCACGAAGGGTTTCTGCTCAGGTTTTTTTGGCTTTGTTACCGCTTAGTAGTTATAAATTCAAATCCAATCAACCATCTGGCGTAGAGTTAAAACAACTGCTTTAGATGGCAATGATTTTAGCAAACACTTTTTTGGCTTTCTCGGATTATCATCCGTCTGATTATTTCTGTCGGCTTAGATCCCGTAGCTCGATGGTTCAGCTTTATTCCAAGTTGCTGTAACCCCCATACTTGAGACGACAAATCCAGCGAGTTCGATTCCCGCTGAGACTTTGTTTTTCTTCTAAATAGAAAATTTTGGCTAATTTAGATTACTGTCTGTCTGCTTAGTTCCGCAGAAAGGACTTTTTTGAATACTTGGTTTCTTTATAGCATTTTCAAAGCTCTTTGTAGAGTTTCTATTGGTGAAGGCAATTTTGTTTTGGATATTTTGGACTTTGTTGCAATTTTTATTGGCAAAAACGATTTTTTGATTTTTTTTCCGTTTGATTTTCATAACATTCATATTTGTATCGCAAGTGGTGCGAAGCTCAGCTTCGCCTCTGTGTTCAATTTTAGCTGTTAGAAAGTTTCGTTTGATAGAAAAATTAGACGGCTTTATTATTTACGCTCTAAATTAGACATGTTTGTAAATCGGTGGTCATAAGTCTTGGCATCGCTTCAATTTACTTGCCCCTAAATTTTTGTCCATATTTTTTTTCTGAACTAAGTAATCTCATAATGTTTGTGTAGATATTTGGATGCGAGGTGTCGTTTCCTTTCTCTTACAAATTAAAACGACATTTGAAGACTCATGAGAATTTCAAAGCTCATTTTGGAAAACAGCCGATTAAAACAGTGTTCCGCTTAAAACAACGTTATGAAGAGTTGCTGCGCAATCCAGAATACGTAAAGCAGAGAACAAAAAATACGCATGATAAACCGTTATTTGTGAGTGAAGACGACTCTAATATTTGGGTAATCGGTAGCGAAGAAACACATAATCTGCACCAGACAGTTTTTGAGTCACTTCAACAATCAGGCCACGATTACACGGCGGGAGAATCCGAATATGAGTTCAACAACGATATTATGTCAACCGATTTAGGACATGATTTGGATTATGGTTTGGAACCGGACCATTTTTTATACACAGAGAAATTGTTTCCAGATACTCATAACTATGCGCTGTGTTCAGATAATCACTCAGAGCCCGAAACTTTTTCTGAATCAATATCATCAAAAACAAGACAACAAGAGAAGGCTGCAAAAAAGAATGACCATTCAGGTTACAGCTCGTCAGTGCAATTATAGTATACTATTTGATAGTTTCTTCTTATAAGGCTAGTGATCGAGAAAGTATGTTGTAGCAAATATTTGTCTAAATAGAGTTTCGTAAGCTATGTTTTAAGTCTGCAATGTTTCAACTCTAAGCTATGTTATCACCTTGTGAAATATTGTTTTCTTTTCTGAAAAAAAACCCGCTTTACTTATTATTCCGACTAATTTCGGAGAAAATAACGGAGGATTTGTGCTCGGGGTGTTTTTTCTCCAGGCTTTTAAACTAGCAATTTTGTAGGCATGTCAAATTTCAAAACATGCTCAATTTCTTGAAAACTCAAATAAAACTACCGCATCTTGGTCGGTTCATTTTCTTTTTTAAAATATCATTTTTATTATCTGGTACTAGTTTTTATTGGCCTACTTTGTGAAGCATGGATTTTATTTTGATACAAAAATTCTGACAATAGATGAAGTTTCTGTAATTTGTCATTTTACGAAGTCTGGTTTTGAAATGTTTGTGTTTTCAATGTTTGTGTCAAAATCATTGATAGTGAGTTTGCTTTTGAAAGTCTCGCATTTGAAAGTAAGCTCATAATTAACGCTTGCGTTCAGAGTTGAAGTCAAAGTTTTCGGTCATAGAATTGTTCATAATTTTCTAGATTTCGTTTCTAGATGCCAATGGCTGATCAAAAAATATATGAAATCCGAATCTACAGATGCAAGCCAGATGAATTTCAATCTTTTATAAAGCTAGTCGATTCTCCCGAATATGCAGTGCGCCTGCAAATGTCGACGCCATACGGAATATGGCGAACTGAAATCGGGGAGTTAAATCAGCTGTTTCACATTTGGGGCTATGATAGTTTGCAAAACAGAGCAGACGCTCGGAAGAGTCTAAGTGAAAATGACAAATGGAAAAGTTTCATCCCCGAAATAGCGTCGAAGTGGACATCTCAAACAAGTCACGTTGCTAGAGCTTTTTCTCACGTCAGCCTGGAATCGAAGTTCCACAATGGGACTTATTTCTACATGTACACTGAAGATGAAAGCTACACGAATGTTACTATCGATGCTAAATTCCTGAATTCTATCGCACTTCTTGCTGCTTTCAAGGTGTTTTTAGGAGGCCCTTGTGGGGCGAGGTATTTCGTTCTAAATGCTCGAAGTGTAAATGACGTTGAAGAGTTTTTGGAAGATAATCACAAAGAGTTTGAGAAACACAAAGTTGTGGCGACTTTACTGAACGCACTGCCAGTATCACCCTTGCGATGAAGTATGAAAATGAAAACATAATTATGTAAATTGTTAATTGATTTCTTACTGAGATCGTAATTCGTATTCTTATTTCATGACCTAACAAATATTTGAACTTGAAAAATAGATTCTTTGGGGGTGGCCATGATCATTTTTGCGATATTATCTTTTTTAAGGGTCGATGATTCAAGTGAAACACGTATATAGGTCTTGTGGTTTTCTTTTGTTTTTCTAGGGAAAAGCTTAAAATTAGCTCAAATTTGAGTTTCAGTCAGAATAGATAAAATTGAAATTTTTGCGGGAAAAATTGAATGGTCGGACTTAAGGAGGTTGTCTGTTTATGTTTTGTCGGCTTAGTTATCACATCAACATTTTTTTATAGCGCTGTAAGCCATTTCATTGTATTTTCAAATGTTGATTTGATGATAAGTTTACTAACCCTGACCTAGTTTATTTTCCTTTTCTTTTTTGTTTAATCTTTATTCGGCCTAAATAATTTCGGCTCATATTTTCATCGGATTAGTAAAAATTTTTTTTGTCGTTTAAAAGAGTTTTTGTATTCAATTTTATCAAAAAAATTCGGGTCGGGTGTGGTTTAAAAGTTCAAAGCTTAAAAAGTTTTTAATGAAAACAATTTCTTATGACGTTTTTTGGGCTCACTAGGCATCTTAGTGGCCGCGCAGTACTCGCTAAAAGTTTTCTTTTATAATTGGTGGGTTTCAGTCTCATTTTTATTCTCTAGATTGCGATGCTAGATTGCGCTTGCGTTGTTTCGCAGGTGATGCGAAGCTTAGCTTCGCGTTTCAAGTTTACTTCAAATTCTTTGCGAAAAGGAAGGCACAAAAAAGATCACACAAGAGGTGTAAGTTTCTTACCGCTCTCATGGTTCGCTGCAAAATGAAAGTAGTGTAATGTTTTTTTTAGCATTTTGGTTTTTTGATTGGGGAGTTTGTCATAACTATCGCTATCTAAATGGGTGGTTTTTGAAAAAGTTTGAGGGTTTATTTGGGTCATCTACGTGTCAAATAACGTATCAAGGTAAATTACAGTAATTTTTTTGAAGCATTTTGAACTTTAGTTTGATCTAATTATCGTTATAATTTTGAGAGCTTTTCTGGGTCAACCGAGTTCTTTTTCATTAAGCTGATTTCGGAAGTTTTCGCACAGAAATGGCAATTTTGACGTCGTTCATTTAGCAAAACATCGAGAAAGATAGGGCGTCGTGCTAGCGCTACCCATCTGCGCATGCTTCCTTTGTATTGTAATGCAATTCAAGTAGTTCTGTCCAAACCTTTAAGATCTAGCCGTGTGCATTTTCAAGAAAGGTCTTAATTTGGTAAACGATAGCTCGCTTAGTAAAAAATATTTTAGATGACAGCTCTGAAGGCATGTTGTGCATGAACTGTATTTAAGATTATCTGTTGGGTTTTGCAGACGAGTAACTATTAAACCATGTCAACAAGGGCGTACCGCAGAGCACTAGCGGAGAAACAAGGCGATGGTCCAAGTGATGTTAGCAAATCAGACAACCAAGATGCGAATGCCGAATCATCGGGAGGAGAAAATTGTGATCTAATCGCAAAGCCTATTTCGAAGTTTTCGGCTGATATTCTTGATGATTATTTTGGCGGCGAAGACAGTGAACAAGAGGAACAGCATGAACCAAAAGAAATCGAGAAAGTCTGCGAGTCCAAAAATAGGTAAAATATAAAATCCTTCCTGAATGAAAAAAGATTGCCCTTTTTTAAGGCTGTACAAACCAGCCCACATTTTAAACGAAAATAGCCGTTTACTTTGCTGTGTAAGTAGCACAGAATATTCCGACCACACTGATTCCTCCTGTGAGTAGTTTGAAACTTTATATTATTTTCTTACTTTGTGTTTTTTTAATAATGTGCAGTTCAGTTAGTTGAACAAACAGTGTTGTTTTTTGGTAAAATAACGGAAACAGCACTAGATTTGGAATTGGGTATCCTCGAAATGTTAGTTGAATGTCATACCTTGTAAATGTGGTAAAATGCAGACAAGTTTTTTTCTCGACTTGGAGACAAGTTTTTTCAATATTGTTCAGAATCCAAATCACGAGCATTTTAGTTAGATACCAAAGACTGCTTCGAGGTTTCTTTAAAGTTGTTAGAATGCATTGAAAAAAAATCTGCGGCATAGTTCCTTTCCATTACGAAGTGGTCGAAGCAGCAAAGTTTTATTTCAAAATAATAATGAAAAAATTGTAAACTACCTTTGGTGTTGACAGCATTAAATTATTAAGCCAGCAAAAGTTGCCATCTAAAGCAGAACAACATGCAAGATGCTTACTGTCTTTGGATTTTGAACAGAACTGAGCTTGCCTTTAGCACAAATTTTCTGATCTTGCTCAAACGAAAAGGAGCAATCTATAGGTCTGTCTATCTATATCTATTTTAAATTTCAATGCGTGCGACACGGATCTCTTCATATTTAAGCAAAATATTTTTGCATGTTGAACGAAAGAACTTTTACACAGCTAGCATGATTGTCCTCTTTATGAATGCTAGGCCAATTGAAAGGCCCGAATCTACAGCTGTAGCTATGATGCCAGCATGGTAGGGGAGGAGGAGCGCAGCGCAGTGAAGTGTAATGTAAAGTTGAATTCATCCATCTATAAATTATATAACGAGCGTTTTTTGTTTCAGCGTTTATCTCACCAATTTCGAAATTGGTAACCCCATGAACGGGTGCTGTCAGGATTCTCTCGTAGTTGAAAAATTGGCTTCAAAATATGAAAACCGGAGTCTTTTAAGTTTCCGAGAAATGACGTTTTTTCAAATGTTTTGGAAAATTAAGTTTTCAGAATTATCCAAAATTTGAATTTCTCATATGTTCGGGCGCTGTCAGGCTTCTCTCTGGGTTTTCAAGTCTCTTTGCCAAGTTTGACTACTCAAAGCTTTATAGTTTCTAAAAAATGCCGTTTTTCTCGATTTTTTGAAAAATTCTCTTGTATCTTTGTTTGAAGCTTTCAGTTCTATGGTGGGTTGCTGTCAAATTAGTCTCAATATATAACTATCGCTATCTAAATGGGTGGTTTTTGAAAAAGTTTGAGGGATTATTTGGGTCATCTACGTGTCAAATAACGTATCAAGGTAAATTACAGTAATTTTTTTGAAGCATTTTGAACTTTAGTTTGATCTAATTATCGTTATAATTTTGAGAGCTTTTCTGGGTCAACCGAGTTTTTTTTCATTTAGCTGATTTTGGAAGTTTTCGCACAGAAATGGCAATTTTGACGTCGTTCATTTAGCAAAACATCGAGAAAGATAGGGCGTCGTGCTAGCGCTACCCATCTGCGCATGCTTCCTTTGTATTGTAATGCAATTCAAGTAGTTCTGTCCAAACCTTTAAGATCTAGCCGTGTGCAATTTCAAGAAAGGAAGGTCTTAATTTGGAAAACGATAGCTCGCTAAGTAAAAATATTTTAGATAACAGCTCTGAAGGCATGTTGTGCATGAACTGTATTTAAGATTATCTGTTGGGTTTTTCAGACGAGTAACTATTAAACCATGTCAACAAGGGCGTACCGCAGAGCACTAGCGGAGAAACAACGCGATGGTCCAAGTGATGTTAGCAAATCAGACAACCAAGATGCGAATGCCGAATCATCGGGAGGAGAAAATTGTGATCTAATCGCAAAGCCTATTTCGAAGTTTTCGGCTGATATTCTTGATGATTATTTTGGCGGCGAAGACAGTGAACAAGAGGAACAGCATGAACCAAAAGAAATCGAGAAAGTCTGCGAGTCCAAAAATAGATAAAATATAAAATCCTTCCTGAATGAAAAAAGATTGCCCTTTTTTAAGGCTGTACAAACCAGCCCACATTTTAAACGAAAATAGCCGTTTACTTTGCTGTGTAAGTAGCACAGAATATTCCGACCACACTGATTCCTCCTGTGAGTAGTTTGAAACTTTATATTATTTCCTACTTTGTGTTTTTTTAATAATGTGCAGTTCAGTTAGTTGAACAAACAGTGTTGTTTTTTGGTAAATTAACGGAAACAGCACTAGATTTGGAATTGGGTATCCTCGAAATATTAGTTGAATGTCATACCTTGTAAATGTGGTAAAATGCAGACAAGTTTTTTCTCGACTTGGAGACAAGTTTTTTCAATATTGTTCAGAATCCAAATCACGAGCATTTTAGTTAGATACCAAAGACTGCTTCGAGGTTTCTTTAAAGTTGTTAGAATGCATTGAAAAAAATCTGCTGCATAGTTCCTTTCCATTACGAAGTGGTCGAAGCAGCAAAGTTTTATTTCAAAATAATAATGAAAAAATTGTAAACTACCTTTGGTGTTGACAACATTAAATTATTAAGCCAGCAAAAGTTGCCACCTAAAGCAGAACAACATGCAAGATGCTTACTGTCTTTGGATTTTGATCAGAACTGAGCTTGCCTTTAGCACCAATTTTCTGATCTTGCTCAAACGAAAAGGAGCAATCTATAGGTCGGTCTAGCTATATCTATTTTAAATTTCAATGCGTGCGACTCGGATCTCTTCATATTTAAGCAAAATATTTTTGCATGTTGAACGAAAGAACTTTTACACAGCTAGCATGATTGTCCAGTTTATGAATGCTAGGCCAATTGAAAGGCCCGAATCTACAGCTGTAGCTATGATGCCAGCATGGAGGAGCGCAGCGCAGTGAAGTTTAATGTAAAGTTGAATTCATCCATCTATAAATTATATAACGAGCGTTTTTTGTTTCCGCATTTATCTCACCAATTTCGAAATTGGTAACCCCATGAACGGGTGCTGTCAATATTCTCTCGTAGTTGAAAAATTGGCTTCAAAATATGAAAACCTGAGTCTTAAGTTTCCGAGAAATGACGTTTTTTCAAATGTTTTGGAAAATTAAGTTTTCAGAATTATCCAAAATTTGAATTTCTCATATGTTCGGGCGCTGTCAGGCTTCTCTCTGGGGATTCAAGTCTCTTTGCCAAGTTTGACTACTCAAAGCTTTTTAGTTTCTAAAAAATGCAGTTTTTCTCGATTTTTTGAAAAGTTCTCTTGTATCTTTGTTTGAAGCTTTCAGTTCTATGGTGGGTTGCTGTCAAATTAGTCTCAGTTTATTTATATCTGGCATTCAATTTTGACTGCTCAACGCTTCTCAATTTTCATGAGACGACCCTTTTATTTTTCAAACCTTCGAAAAAGTTAAATTAAAAATATAATTTTCAAAGTTTGAAGTTCTCTACCCTGCTGGGGCGATGTCAGGGTTTCCTCAGCTGTTGTACATGGTTCATCTAAGCATCAATCCAAATATCCATACATCAATCCAACCATATATCCATCAAGCCATCTATCAATATAGCCATCGGTACAATGATACATCAGCCATCGTTCCATCCACCCATGAAGCGATCCAACCAGCCAATTTATCTTAATTCTGACCATTCTTTGAGCCATCTAGCCTTCCATTCGTCTCTCCAGAAATCCAGGTTTAGCAATCTATCAGGCCATCATCAAGCGATTCATCCACCCATTCATCCATGCAATCGGCCATCCATCAACTGTTTTATCCCTCCATGCAATAAGCTATCCATCTATCAATCCATCCAGTCATTGATCCTCTAAGAGCTTTCAAACCTTGTTCCATCCGTTCATCTAGCCATTCATCTATCCATCAGCTTAGCCATCCATCCATCTAGCAGGCCATCCATCCCACTATACGACCATTCAGTCATGCATTTAACTAATCAGTCATCCATCTATCCTGCCCTCCAACCCATTCATCCTATGAGCGATCCATCCCGCCATCCAAACTGCTATCCATTCATCAAGCAATCCGTCCAGTCAGACATTCAATCATTCGCCCATCCATCTAGCCATTCGTTGATCCTACCATCCTTTCGTCCTGCCATCCATCCATCTGTCCATTCATTCATCCAGTCATCTGTCTAACAAGCCATACATCTAGCCGTTAGTTCTTCCAGTTTTCCATTCATCCACGCACCCATTCATTTAATCATTTAACAATCCATCCATCCATTAAGTCATTCATCTAGCCATCCAGATATGTATACAGCCAACCGTTTATTTGACCATCTATCTACCCAAAAATTCATTTATCCCAGCATCCATCTATCAATTCAACCAATTTTCAAGCCACGCATTATACTCCAACCTGCCATCCATTCATTAATCTATCCGTGGACCCATTGATCCCTCTACCCGTCCAACCCATATCCATGCTTCTCACCAAACCGTTCATCCATCTAACCAACGATACATTCATCCGTGAACCCATCCATCGATCTAGCTATTCAGCCATCCATCTATCCATATAGCGATTCGCCTATCTCAGCCAGCCATCAATCATCCCGTAATTCATTCGGTAGTTCATCAATCTACCTATTCATCCATCTAGATATCTATCCGTCTCTCAATCCATCAAGCCATCCGTCCCTTCAGCCAGCCATCAGTCGATCTATCTAGCCATTCACCAAACCATTCATCCATCCATTCTCCCATCCATCCATGCTTTGATCAGTGTAACCTTCCATCCAACCCGTCATCCATACATCCAGCCAGTCATCCTTTAATCCAGCCATCACTAAAGCCATCCATCCATTAAACCATCGATGCAACGAGCCGTCTAACCATTCATCTAGACAGCCATCCATGCGTCAATCCAGCTATCCATTCATCCTGCCATCATTCCAT